AGATCGGCGAACAGTTGAAACCAGGAACGATCAATCGGGCTACCAGTACATCAAGTCATTTTGACTTCACTTTGATTGCTTTGATTAATCTTTTCTTTCTGGCTGAAAGTGGTGGACCCAGCTCTCATTCCTAGCGATGAATCGTGCTATAAAACTAACGGCCCCTGAGTAGAACAGTTCCACATTATTCCTTAACATCAGATGCCGAATGCGCTTCATTTACCTTGGTAGCTGTGTCACCTCTGGTGATTACATCAATGAAGAAGTTACTTTGCGTATCAACAAGGACCGTGTGGCTTTCCAGAGGCTCAACCACCTAGGGAGACGGTGGGATAACAACCTGTCAGTGAAAGCTATTGCACACAACGCAGTGATAAGACCGGGGTTGTTGTATGGATCGGAGACCTGGCCAGTTCGGGGTAAGGACATTAAACACTTGACCGTGTTTGACCACGGGTGTTTGCGGAGTATTTGCTCACATCCGAGGGTAACAACGAGTGAGAAATGCTAAGGTCCGCCAGTTGGTTTTTGGCAAGAAGCCTTCTGGTGCCTCACTCGATTGTTTATTGAATTTTAATCGCCTACGTTGGCTAGTTCATGCCCTCCGTATGCCAGTTGACCGACTTTTTCAGCGTGCATTATACACCGTGGCTTCCCCAAGCTGGGTGAGACTGTGAGGTGCCCAGTCGATGACGTGTCACAGAGGTATGAAGAAATTGACTGAGAGTTGGTCAGGTTGGTGCATGTTTCGGTCTTCGAGATGGTCCACACCCTTTTAGACATGGCGCAGTCACGCAGTTAGTAGCGTTCTTGCATCCAGTTGTTACTTTTTGTTCCATTCCTATTATTCTAGAGCACCTCCTTCTTGCTTCCATTTTCTTCACATTCTATTTGCATTCAGTCCACTGCATTGCAGTTGTCCTAGAGTGTTATTCGTGCGATGTGACTTGTGGCAACTGGGTCCGCCGCACTTCGGTGATCGGATCATGGTAGTTCAACTGAACTAAACGGAATGGACTGTGAGACTGCAGTAGCCTTCGAAAGAGGTCTAGATAAGTGTTGGCTAAACCTTTTTCCTGAACTAATGTAATTGAATACTGATTACTGTATTATAGAGCAAGTAGAAATGGATTCTGTACAACTCTTTCGAAATATGGTGAAAAACGTTATAAAAGTTGTCAACCGTGAATATCATTGTCGTTCTCATGTGATATTTAAAATATTCGACTTACGATATTTCAGGATTCACAAATGTGATATGTCATCGTAAGTGTGCAGTCGTTCTCTGAAGCGAATAGTGGCAAAATACAAATCTAACAACGTTTTGAACTGTTGCACAGATGTTGCCTCAATCACATGTTCAGGCAAACTGTTCCAAATGTTTACCACTCTCCGTTCGAAGCACAGTGGGTGGGGAACACATTTCACATCTGGCACGACAAGTTTGTATCTGTGTCCGCGTGTGCTGCATGGCCCTCGTAAGTGCAGCATTGGCCTTAACATGGGGAAGTCACCGAGATGTAGAATACGGTAGGTCATAATGAGGTCAACTCGCAACCGACGGTAGGACAAGGTGTAGAGTCCTAGTTTCTCGCACCGGTCTTCATACCCAAAGCCACGTAAACTCGGGATAAGCCTGGTAGCAACGGGTTGGACCCGTTCGATCTTTTGTGCCTCGCCTCGGGTAATCGGAAAGTAGGCGGGCGAACCGTACTCTAGCATTGGTCTAATGATAGAAGAGAACAGGCGAGTGGCAACCTCTTCAGACCATGTGCCGAAGCTACGTTTGAGCGCCCAAAGCATGCGCAGTCCGTTACGATATAGCCTGTTCGTGTTGTCCACGGACTTCAAATCGTAGCGTGAGAGTACACCTAGGTCCTTCACGGAGGGTGTGGGATATAGCGTTTGGCCGTCAAGGGTGTAGGTTCGGCCGTTAACACCCTTCCCCAGGCTCATAAATACAGAATTGGCTGGGTTGACCGGGAGAAGAACTTCTGCAGACCATGTGGATAGGCGGTTGAGGTCTTGCTGAAGTAGGCCACAGTCATCGGGAGCGTCGATTTCTCTCCAAATCTTCATGTCGTCCGCAAACAAGGCACACGGCGACCGGAGAAGCTGCGGTAGATCGTTGATGTGGATCAGGAACAGAGTGGGCCCCAGCACAGTGCCTTGAGGCACGCCACTTGTAGAGGGGTACCAGTCAGTTAGATGGTCGTCGACCTGTACCCTCCACTTTCGTCCAACAAGAAAGTCGCGGATCCAACGGTGCAGCGAGCCACCTACACGACACATGCTGAGTTTGTGAATGAGAACCTTATGACTGACCTTGTCGAACGCTTTACTGAAATCGATGAATATCACGTCGACGGACTTCCCCTTGTTTATTGCCTTCAACCACTCATGCCTCGTCACAAGCAGGTTCGTAATGCATGAGCGACCTTGCATAAAACCGTGTTGTGCGGACGTCAGGACCTCGTTTGACTGTAGCAATTGCAGCAATCCCTTCTTCACAATTTCCTCAGCAACCTTTGCCAAAATAGATGTCAGACAAATTGGCTTGTAATTGTCTACTTTGCTATGGTCGCCGCCTTTCGGAATAGGCTTCACCACCGAACACTTCCAGTCAACTGGCAACAAACCTGTGGACAGCGACCTGTTGAAAAGGTCAATCACGAGAAGAGAGAGGATGGTTGAAAGTGACTTGAGAACCAGTGGGTAAAGCCCATCAGGTCCGGCAGGTTTGGTGCCGTCAAGGTTGGCGAGTAGTTGAGCTACCTATTCAACGCCGCAGTGCAGACTATCGAGTTCGGTAAAAGCGGTACACGTCGAACTCGGAACAGACACCTGGTTATTCGCAAATACAGAAGCGAAGTGCGCCGCCAACGCGGACGCACGCTTAGTGCTGGAGGTTAGGGGCTGTCCATCCGTGCCATCCAGCACTGGCACATCACCTGCCGGCTTCAGGCGTCGCTTCACGTATGCAAACATTCTTTTTGGGGTGGTTTTCGCGGCTAATGCGAGCTGCTCTTCTAATGGAATTTGTACCAGCGATAGCTTGTGTAGTGAATTTTGTAGTTGATTCATGAAAATGCAAAGGTTGCTCTTTTTACATAAGCAAAGCGAGTAGATGCAACATGGAAGTGTAGGAGGTCTGGATTGCTTTCTGGTACAAGGAGCAGTGTGTTCGTTAGGTGGAAGCATGTCGTCCTTAGATCTTAATCTGGCCTGACCTGAGTTCTGCTTTATAAATGCATTGGTACTTTAGTTCCTGGGAATTAGTGGTTTTTTAATGAATAGTCTTCAAAAGCAAAAAAGGCCAAGAAGATAGGAGATCCTCGGTATCGAGTAACAACATAAAACACAACATTCAACGTTGTACAAATGGATTGTAACACACAACTTCAAATTGACTTCTAATTTACGTTGAACTACGCAATGGCCCTCTTGACCAATTGGACTGTAGCTTAAAAGCATTGATGGTGTTTGTAATGCGAACGCCCCAGCATTATACTCCGAAAGGTAACTGGAGTTGAGTTTCCACCTGCATAATTCATGCAGACAGGAGACATTTTTGTGAAGTGCGACAGTGATAAGTAACATTTGTAGCTGTCCAAATATCTGTGGTCCAACAAATCGTCATTGATAACCGCGAAACATGCATCGGCCACCATGTATGGTAACTTCGTAGGGTGCACGCTAATTAGGAAACTTGTGGTTTTTACCTTCAAAACAGAAGAACTGTTGTGTGCGGCAAACCGCAAACCTGACCAGCAGGACCCATTCGAGAAATTTAAATAAGTTTCCATGTCACATTGCTTAATCAGAGTACGTGTGATACCTGGAGCAGGTTGCCAATCTCCGCCAGCTGTGGCGCAGACACGACGTCACTCTAACCCTGAAGGGTCGAGTTTAAAATGTAGCCGTCCGTTCAACCCTCCTGTAAGGTTGTGAAACGTGGCCCAGCAGATCGACAGACTGGGCTAGCTACGTTCGACTATCGCTGCCTTCACAGCTTACCTCATGTCTGGTGGGAGCACCGCGTGAGCGATGAATGTGTTGGGCGTCGCGTATTTGGTGTAGGAAAAGTGAGTGCTCCGCTCAGCACCATTATTTCACGTACCAGCCTCCGATGGCTGGGCCACGTGTTGCACATGCCAGTCCACAGACTCCCGCGAAGTGCGTTGCTTGCGCGCCCGGGATCTGGATGGAAGAGAAGGAGGGGAGGCCAAGCAATCACTTGGTCACGATGAATGAAAACCTTCACTTCGACATTGGCGTCGGTTGGTGCATCTGGACTGCCGGGCTGAGGTCCGAAGGACGATGAACACGTTTGGTTGGACACACTCGCTGACATGGCTTGGAGCCGACCCCAATGGCGTCTGCGCAGTGAGTTTCTATGTCCATCCCTTCTCCTTTAGATTCCTCTTCCAATCACGATCTCATAGCAAATCAATAATATGGTATTTAACATTTTATTATTTGAATTTTTGTAATGTTATTCTCAGTATATTATCTTTTTGTATTGCGGCACCTTAGCGGAGGCGTGTTTCTCACCCTGAGCTAACGTGTAATGATGATGATGATGGTGGTGTGGTTTCGAGGAGCAACGAAGAGCAAACAGAAGAACAGGAACACACTGTAACACGAAAGCCAATTGCTTTATGAAAGTGGACATGGCTAAGCTGCCCATACGAAGATAAAAATAGAAGAGTGGCGGCAAACTGGGGACGAATCAAGATACTCAGAACAGACAAACTATTGCATAAAACAGCTCAGCAAAGATCGAATGCGTTTGATCGACTGGGCAGACAAAACAAGAGTTCTATTACGTTTTGTTTTACGGGTAAAAAGCTCGGGTTGGTTATGCACCAGAATCTGGATAAATGTCGATAACCAAGAAAAGGAATTAAATCCAGGAAATATCGGCAGGCAAAATGCGTGAAGCAACAAATGGAAGGTAATGATGGCAGATGTGCAAATTCGAGATGCGGAACGCTAACCTGCATGAAATAAGCATGTGCTTGGGCTTCTGAAAGTCTGCGAAATTGCTGTTGCTGTGCTTGCTGTGTGCACGATCGCTTTCGCCGCAATCCCGCTTCGATGTTGGAGATTTTACGGTTTTTAATGGCGTCAGTGATTTTTTTCGCCTCCTGCTTGATGTCCGTGGCAATTGTCGGCAGCTGAACGCGAAACTTGCCGTGTTTGCCAGCAAACCGCCGAGCGGTGTTATGCGAGGCATCAGTGTTTCGTCTCTCCGGATGGCGAACGGAAGTCTCTGGGTTCGCAGACGGATCGTCCCGATAGTCGGAAATGAGTTCATCAACTCGTTCGTCCACACCATAGTTCATCGAAGTGGAAGGAACACCTGCAGACTGCAGGTCGTGCACAGAACCCAAGCAATGCTCCATGACGAGACATAGTCGATCTGGGTCTTCTAAGCGCAACACAGCAGCCAACGAGACGATGTGACGGTGGGGAGGAAGACGTAGCATGACGCTAGCCTCCAACAGGGCTTGACACCAACCACCGGGAATTTTGCGAACACCAAATTTGCTGATAATTTTCACCGCATGCCGGCGAAGAGTTACCAAGTCGATTGCGTCTTTGACCTTGAGAAAACAAGAAAGTAGTAGGTACTCAGATCATACGAAAGATGATATAGAGAAGAGCTGAGTGGGGTTGTCATAACAGTAGTAAAAACCTGTAAAAATAACATGATTCAGTTAATACACGTTGAACTGTATGAGGATTCGAGATAAGTAAGGCACTTGTAACAAACCGCATAAAAGCATTTAAAAAACTAAGTGTCTCTTTCACTATTCCTTACACCTGCGGATAGTAAAGTTACCGAATAAAGGAAACAGTACGATGAAAATGGTACTAACAGCCATGCGGATTATCAATCAGCTGGACCCAACGAACAAAGTGTAGCTAACACTGGTGAATTGGTCAATGAGAGTCGCCAGAGTGTGCAGCAGACACGCATTCTTCCGACTCATGGCTTTAGATCAACAAAAAAGCCCTTATAGTGTTGCGAAAGCGAACTTAAGTCAATTTCAAGGCAGATTCAACACGATTACAGGGAACGGAATAGATACCAACCAGAAAAGTGACGGAAGACTGTCATACTTTTGGAACTCGTCAGCAGTGAGCATTGCATCTACCTGCCACTTCGATGACGCGATGAAAGCCACTGAACCGCAGGGTTGACGGCAGCTATTGTCATCATCATCATTATACACGTCAGCTAGAGATGGGAAACACCTCAGCTACTGTGCCGCAATACATAAATGAAAAAGGAAAATAAATACACAAGTTCCATGCCAACTGAGCTACCAGCAACGGATAGGCATCATTCCGGTAAGCTACCAGCCGGCTACTGGACAAAAAGAAAAATTATTATGTTTTACGCTAAGAAATGAGATCGTAGGTGGAGAGGGAAAGTATATAATGGTGACTGAAAGCTGGGCTAAAGAGAATCGCCTACCCCGTGCGGTCGATCAGGCAATCGATCGAGCGGACGAATGCGTTTTCAAACACCCGGCTAATTGGACTTTTGCCTCAGAGTTGAGAGGACAGTGGTTTCGGCGGCATTTTCTGGCTACGTTGGCAGAGTTTTTGTTAACACGTTTTTCGTGGTCAAGGCTGTTGGAATTTTGATTTTTCTTCGGCTGGGCTAGAATTGCTGCGGAGAAATTTCTGGGTGGTTAATTCGGAATAGCGAAAAAGGGAAGATCTAACAATGGCGACGGACAAGCACGGAAATGTTACAAATTTTTCTGCCGAACATTTTCAAAAGCTGCTTCTTCAGCAACAATCCCAGATGGAAGCACAAATGAAACTGATTGAAAGTTTAACGCAGTGCTTAAACGTACAATCAAACGGAGCAGCTACACGGGACACGCAGGCTGTTTCACTTGATCTTCTTACGAATTCAATCACTGAATTTCATTATGATGCTGATTCCGAATCCACTTTCGAGGCGTGGTTCAAACGTTGGGAGGATATGTTCCAGACGGATTTCAGCCGTCAAGATGATTCATGGAAAGTGCGCCTTTTGCTCCGCAAGCTGGGAACTAATGAACATACAAGATTCCTTGACCACATATTGCCCAAAGAGTCGAAGGACATCACTTTCAACGAAGCAGTGGCAACACTCAAAGAAATGTTTGGTGAGTCAACATCATTGTTTAGCATTCGCTATCAATGTCTAAAAATTGTAAAGCGTGATACAGACGATTATGGGGCACTAGCAGACATGGTTAACCGCGAATGTGAACGTTTCAAATTACGCTGTTTGACGGATGACCAGTTTACGTGTCTTATATTTGTCAGTGCTTTACAGTCTCCACGCGACGTGGAAATCCGCACTCGGCTCCTTGCTAATTTGGATCAAGATCCAGATTTGACATTGAAGTCTCTTGTAGGCGAATGCAAACGGTTAATTACCTTGAAACACGACACGGCTATGATTGAGCAGAGTCGCCCCACCATTGCCAATACTGTTCATGCTGTACAAAAAGCAAGAAAATCTGGCTCGAATAAGTCGTTCAACAGAAAGCCGAACAAGCCGCCTACACCTTGTTTGTCATGTGGTGAATGGCATTTCGCACGATACTGTCCATTCAAGCGTCATATTTGTGATAAGTGCCATAAACGCGGCCACAAGGAAGACTTTTGCCATCAGTCCCGGCCAAGAAATGTGAAGCAGTCCTACCGAAGGAAGAATCTCAGAAAACCTGACGCAGAATCACTATCGGTGATTGCTACGTTTCACAGCCATTCTAGAACACGCCGCCGATTTATCACTGTGCTTATCAACGGAATCCCAACCCGGCTGCAGTTCGATACGGCATCAGATATAACGATCATTTCCAAGAACACTTGGAAGCACATAAAGAAGCCGAAAATGATTGATTCCAACAAAATCGCTCACAATGCATCCGGTGGAGTGCTGAAGTTGGTCGGAGAAATAAATTGCAAAATTGCATTCAACGGAGTGGAAAAGGCCGGAACCTGCTACTTGTCTGATCGACCAAACTTGAACCTCCTTGGACTTGACTGGATGGAAAAATTACAACTGTTTGATGCTCCAATGAGTCAGATTTGCAATACAATACAAACCGACCCAGTACATTCATCATTGTCGATAGAAGAGATGACCAGAAAGCTAAAGCAGCAGTTTGTCACCTTGTTTGAAGATGGTCTCGGCCACTGCACTAAGTTCAAAGCAAAGTTGTGTCTTCGTGAAGGAACCAAGCCAGTCTTTAGAGCAAAAAGACCGGTACCGTATGCAGCCATGACAGCAGTTGATCAGGAGCTCGACCGACTGGAACGAGCCGGTGTCATCACACCAGTGAACTACTCTTCATGGGCTACGTCGATTGTTGCTGTGAGAAAGCCGAACGGTAAAGTGCGAGTCTGCGCCGATTTTTCGACCGGCTTGAATGCCGCATTGGACGACCATCAATACCCCCTTCCGATACCAGAAGATATATTTGCCAAGCTAAATGGTGGGAAGTGCTTCGCCAAGCTCGACTTGTCCGATGCCTACCACCAGGTTGAGGTTGATGAAAGCTCAAGAGAATTGCTGACCATCAACACTCATCGTGGCTTGTACCAATACAACCGCCTCCCTTTTGGCGTGAAAACAGCACCAGCCATCTTCCAGCAGCTGATGGACACCATGCTCGCGGGAGTTTCTGGAGCCGCGGCGAACCTGGATGATATCATTTTAATGGGTCGGACGGCAGAAGAACTATTTCAGCGGCTCGCTGAAGTGCTTGTACGTATCCAGTCATATGGTTTCCGTATCCGCGAAGATAAGTGTACCTTTTTTACACCAACCATCAAGTTTCTCGGGTTCATCTTCTCAAAAGACGGTCGTCGCCCTGATCCAGAAAATATCCGAGCTATTCAAAAGATGCCCCCACCTGTGGACTTGCAGTCGCTGCGTTCATTCTGTGGCCTAATCAGTCATTACAGCGCTTTTCTGCCCGAACTACATCGCCTGCGTGCCCCATTGAATAAGTTGTTGAGCAAGGGCCAAACCTGGAATTGGACGCCAGAATGCCAGACTGTGTTTGAGTGGGTCAAGTCATTGTTGGCTTCAGACTTACTCCTAACTCATTTCGATCCTTCCCGGGAAATTGTCCTTGCCACAGACGCATCGAGTCTAGGGATCGGTGCCGTAGTTCCCCATACGTTCCCAGATGGATCTCAGAAGGCGATCGCACATGCCGCCAGGACGCTAACGAAAGCTGAAAGAAACTACAGTCAAATCGAGAAGGAGGCATTGGCCATAGTGTTTGCTGTGAAGAAATTTCACAAGATGCTGTACGGTCGCCGCTTCAAACTCTTGACGGATCACAAGATTCAGCTGGCCATTTTCGGCTCGAAGAAGGGAATTCCTGCCTATACAGACAATCGACTCCAACGATGGGCACTTACATTGCTGGGCTATGATTTTGAAATCCGTTATCAGTCAACGAATTCGCTGGGCCAAGCAGATGCGTTGTCACGCCTCATTGATTCCCAGCAACAAGAACACGAGGACACCATCATTGCCTCAGTTGAAATCGAACCTGATGTCAAATTCCTGGTGAACGAGGCACTACATGGTATGCCAGTTACGGCCGATGCTGTGGGGGCCGAAACGCTTCGAGACCCAATCCTGAAGAAGGTGACACACTTCCACAGAACCAGCTGGCCACGTTCGTGTTCATCTGCCGAAATGCAGCAGTTCTATCAGCGAAGACATTCGCTTTCCATTGTGGACGATTGCATCATGTTCTCAGACAGAGTAGTCATCCCGCAGGCGTTGCAACAAAGAGTGCTGCGACAGTTCCATGCAGGACATCCAGGGCTCAACCGAATGAAAGCGCTTGCCAGAAGTTATGTATATTGGCCGTTTATGGACAGGCAGCTAGAGCAGCTAGCTAAAAGTTGTGGCAACTGCGCTACTGCCTCAAGGGCACCGTCGAAGACTGAACTCCGCTCATGGCCTAAACCAACTAAACCTTGGAGTCGTGTTCATGTAGACTTTGCAGGCCCAATCAATGGCCAGAACTTTCTCATAGTGGTCGACGCTTATAGCAAGTGGCCCGAAGTGTTCCTCATGAGAAGCACGAAAACCAGCGCAACCGTCTCTAGGTTGCGACAAATCTTCAGCAGGTTCGGTTGCCCTGAAACATTAGTGACGGACAATGGATCACAGTTTACTTCGGCCACATTCACGGAATTCTGCCAACGCTGCGCCATCAAACACTTGCGGTCTCCACCATTCCACCCACAATCGAATGACCAAGCAGAGAGGATTGTGGATACATTCAAACGCGCTCTCCTCAAATCAAGGAGGGAGGGAGACCTAGAGGAGGTGATCGACCGCTTCCTATTTCTGTACCGATCTACAAAAAATCCACAAACGCCGGGTGGAATATCACCAGCAGAGGCAATGATGAAGAGAAAACTTCGCATGCCATATGATGCAGTTCGGCCATCCTCAGAGTCCATAGCTGGTGAAAGAAACCTAAGGATGGAACGTGATTTTAATCGGCGGTTTGGTGCCAAGCAACGTTCGTTTAGACCGGGTCAGCCAGTACTTGTGCGT